GTGCTCTCTGAGGATCTCTATTTCGATCGAAAGATATATGACCCGAGTCTGAAGCGAAATAAAACGCCCGTGTTACACGGTCACTTTCGTTGGCGATCAGTACTGGTTGTCTAACTAGCAAGGACAAGAACTAAAGCAAGGCCATGCAAAGAATAACGCGCGGCAGCAGCTTGTCGACGTGTCGATGCTCATATATTACGTGGCTCGCGACCGGAAGAATGAATCGTAACGCAGAGGCGTGTGCCATCTGTGAGGCGACGCTGTCAACGCCGTGGCAGTATTTCCCGTGATGGACGTTGGCCATAACATGACATGCCTTCTTCTTCTTCGACTAATACTGTGCACTACAGACGAAACTTCGCCCATTGGCCAGCACAAATTGCATTGCGTTTATACGTTTGTTTACTGTGCACCACGTCCGACAGACACCATGCTTTCTCTCTTAAATGTATGCGTCTCTTGACTGTCGTACTTCCATGCATGTATATATTGTATATATTGTATATATAGTTTTCAAGCATCTTTGAAAGAGTTTCGTACAGGGAAGATAGGTTTTTGTTACTGCTTGAATTCGGCACCGAACTATCACCTGGCTTGGTCCTGACCGCTCAGATTTCTCTGCGCTGTACGAAACTGCGGGTACAACGAACCTACTGCAAGTCCACTCCAGTACCTTATTCCCTAACCAACGAGGGCGGCCACGAACAGGATCACACGGACTTTCTCGACCTCGCGTCGCGTTTGAGCTATGGTACCTTAAGCGGCAGCCGGTCAACCGAATGGAGTTGTGTTTCCGGCGTCAGCGCAGTTAGTGACGGCGATGAATCTGCCAGCTGTACATGAATTCTCATTTGCAGCGTGCTAATGAGAATTTGTGCTCCTAGCAGCACAGGTTGTTAGGCTCCAGAGACGACTACACATAAGTTAATGCCTTTTATGACTAATGTATTGCAGAGTTTTTTTTACGTCTACTGATCATTAGGGTCCTTTAGGACCGTTCAATTAAAACAGAATATCCAAATAACGTCGTTTTGTGAAGGTGGTTTCGTGAAATAACTTTATTTTGATACGCAATTTGCTTCACATATCGAGGGACATTTGTAGACAAAAAGAGGGACGTTGCTCTGGAAATTTGGATTACATATTTGATGGTTTCTTCGTCCGCGATGTCCCCTCACTGAAGAGCACTCGTGGACCTGGGACATGTACATCATATTTGAACGTCTGCCATATTTCCCATCCATTTCTTTAAATCCATCCCTATCCCTTCCTTCGTGCACTACTGCTTATGCGTCCTCCTCTGAGAGAGAAAGTTCTAGGGTGTACATTCTCTTCACTTTCTGTTAGTTTATTATAATATTCACTCACACAAACACACTGAAAACTTGACCAACTCGGCCCTCAGCACGCCGTCGCACTCGTTGCGAATTTTCCGAGTTAGATGTTAGCCATGTATAGAAAAAAGATTGAAAATTAAAGAAAAAGAAGCATGAGGTTCAGGTATCGACAGCAAGTGATTTACGTCAGCAAAACCAACAGTACAACGCAGCTTCCAGGCCAAGCAGGTGAGGAGACTCATTCCAACAAAGGCATCGTCCAAACGTGAGTTCACCCAAAGAACTTCTCGAAGACAGACACAGGCAATTATTCTCTTTGCTCACAGGAACGCTAAATCTCGTTGTCAGCACAAGTCCGACCGGTCAGACGCTGCATTGACGGACCTAAGAGAGTCCACGCCTGAACTGAGCAAAAGAATGCCGCGCAGGTGACGCATTGGGCACGGCAGTGAATCTCCCACCCCTCCCTCTGGTGACAGGCCTAACGACAGATTAAGGACTTCGGGATGACCCCGATGTATATTCCCCGTGAATGTTCGCGGGCGCCTTTCAGACATATGTACAAGACTAGAAGAGCGAGCCAGACCCATCTCGCAAGCTGGCACACCGAAGCCCGTGCGACAAAAGCCTGTCGTACACAAGTCCAAGAGAGTAAAGAAGCCTCTTCTAAATCGCGCACGCAGCCTCAACAGTCCCTACTTGCGTACGAAGAGACACGTAATTTATGATCTCCTTGAACTTGGGAGCTGCCGCGGATACCCGCTATGCACACAAACGTTCGCCGCCCGCCCAGGAGTTGTGCAACAATGGCGCCATCTCGTCGACAGGCGCGCAAGCTGGCGGGCGAGGAGTGCGTTGGCGTAGCTCAACTGCGACGCGGGTGAAACGTAGTAAAGATGACCCGCGCAAGAATGCGCTGCTAGGCCCAGTTTGAAGTGTCGTTTCGCGAACAATGTGCGCCCCTCCACGGAGTCTCTCTCTTTTCAGGGAGCAGTACGAAAATGTGAAGGGCGCGCTGCTCTTGAACTTGAGACGCGCACCAATGTCAGGGGCAAACCGAAGCCATAACCGTTCGTCAGGGAAGAAAGAACGGCGCTTTCCGCGCCCACTCTTGAGGCCATTACGAAAGCAGTGGGCCGCTCTTCACGATATGGCACGCGGAGCAGCGGCAACAGTAGACGACCCTCTGGGAGCATGCCACAGATGAAGCGAGCCGCACGATTGCGTGCGTGCACGTGCGCGCGCATCCACTACTCAACAATGTAAACCAGCGTTTTTCTTGAATTTCGAGCGTGCGTTTGTGTATATGGAGTCATGTACTGCGCGATGTTTCGTTTAGAAGAGGAAAGGAGGTCTTGAAGAATCGGATATTCTTCTTTCACTGCTTGTGATATAGTATGTATCAGGTCGAGAAGACTGAGGGAGGAGGTGTGGGTACCTGGGTGAGGGAAAGGAGGTAACACTGCGTGTGTACATGCAGTTAACTAAGGCATTTTCTATGAGTCAAGGTTTGTTGAACTCTGGCTCGCAATATATTACCCTCTCTCCTTGTCAATTTTCCACGAATATAGAAGTGCGTTATAGGCCCCTGCGCAGCAAGAGATCTACGTGTGTCCCACGTTGAAAAAAAACGCGATAAGGCAAGAGAGTTTCTGCGACAGGACAGTAAACAAGGAAAACTTTAAATTATCAAAAATATAAAATGCCTCTTGCGCGTGTGTGGTTCCGAAGTTTCAGTTGGACTATTTGCTAACTTCCATTCTAAACTCTGTAGCTTCAAGAAAGTACAAAGACTGCACAAATCTCATCCCATGTGATGGCTGTGGTAAAGCAGTTCTAAGTGACTACATGACAATAATCCAAACGGAACCAAACTACTGTCGAGAAGGCGTGGACAACATCGGAACGCTTCTGTCTAATGGAATAGGGCAGAAAGGCACGGTGAAATTGAAATTCCTGAGCGATCGCGTACAAGAGTGGTGACAGCGGAAAGACGAATGGGGAACAGAGACTACAAGAAAAATAATGTGGAAACAAAAAACGGCCTCAGCCTCACGACATAGCATGTCCGCCGTCTCAGGGCCATACGCTCGACATGGTCACAGCGGGTGTCGTAGGAACAACTGCTTCCGCGAGGAAACAGCATCAATATAAAAGTGGTGCTAACAATACCCCTCAAGGAGAGAAGGATGAGCAGGAGGGAGGGTAGAGCTACTGACGAATTTGCATTCCCAAATAAGCTAGCCCTCTGCTGCAATGGTAGCAAAAGAGAGAACCAAGGTGGCAGGGCCCACACGGACTATGACAGAAACATAGAAAGCTGCAGAGAACAGTCAGGTATAGTCGTGCACCACACGGCGAGTGGCACATGTGAGGGGGGCACTGCCGCTGTCTGCCAGCGGTGTCCCGTCTTCTACTGCACGAGTTGCAGAGAGTCGACCCCTGTCTTGTGGGTGTGCGACGGTGCGTGACGCGTCCGCATGGAGCTAGCGGGTGAAATATGCGAGCGTGCCTCCCTCTATGGTCTGGTTGCTCGCCTCCTGTGGGCGACGCGCACGAAAAAAGAAGCAACGAAGAAATGGAACGTGGGCCACAAGAGTGAGTGTGTCTAGCTGGCGTTCACAGAGGGATCGGAGGACAGGTGGCTATCGGTGTTGGTGGGTCTTCCATGAGCGGAGAGGTCCTCACCCTTCGTGATGTCGAACACGCTTGATGTGACCTATCAAGTGTGAGGCAACTGTGAGGCGGAAACATATCGGTACTAGATGTCGTTATCATCATAATACAAAAACGTTAATTAAATTATTCATGGTATTATTAGTTTAGCATCACTCTTCGTGAACTGCGTCTCACATTTATTATTAAGTTATTCAAGCGCCCTACAGAGGAGACAAGAAAGCGTTTTGCACCACTAAGCTGAAATTTTCGATGAGAAGCATACAATATACTGTGTAACATTCACGCGACAAATCAATGCAATAAGTTCTTGCTCGTTTTTCATTTTGACGCCTGGTGTATGAAAAGGTGTGTGCCTGAAGAGCCCTTTAAAAATTAAGAAGAATCAACGTCTAAGTAAGGTTGCATTCAAAAGAAGGTAGCATTTTTTCGCGCTACAAGCAATGCGACATAAAAAAGACTTTCTTGGTAGAAAGGTTAAACCATGAAACTACCTATTTTAAGTAGCTGCTTTGTCTTTTCATCCCTATATGAATTATGACCGCCGTGCGACATGTTCAAGCTGTAGCAGTCGGGCTTTATCTGTTGAAACTCTTCAAGATGCTGTTATACACCGTATGCTTATCTCTAACAAATTGACAGAACTAATATCCCGTTTTGTGAAAGCGGAATGGCGAACTGTAAGTACTTGATATGCCATAGCAAAGTATATTATTGCAGCAGCAGCAGGTATACCACTGCCGAACGGCATCTGCAGCTTTCTACTGTAAAAAAAATGAATTGAAATGTTCTCAGGCCACGCTGCCTTAGGAATGCATGGGATTGTGGCGTGTGAACCTTTGACCAGCCCTGTAGATTTTTCTAATAAGAGCACTGCAAACATTGAGCAACTGTCATCTCCACATGGCCCTTCTGGGCACAACGCAAAAGTCTACGTACTAGTGCGCACACGGACGTTGCAATTTATGTAGAAAATGAACGCTTAAATGCAAGTAATACACAAAACGCTTTATTTTCCATAAAATTTGTATGCTGTTGCTCTAGGTTTGATATTGCTTGTTACAGTCTTCCGAAAATGAAAATACGATGACTCAGTGTTCTTCCTTTCCCGTTCCGAGTCCTCTCTGAAAAATAATATTGAAGGTCTTAGTACGTACGAACATGCAACTACGGTGCATGTGGGCAATTGTTCTGCAGGGCTACAGAAGACTGCATATGAACGTACCGATTCACTAAACGGTGCTATACCTGTCAACGAAAATTCACAACGTGCTATTAGAGGTTTTTAGCAAGCTGCGGAAACAGGTTACGGAAAGACGGCAGCAAGGAACCTGGCGGACGAGTGCGCTTGCGCGACTATTGTACGCGCATACGGAAAGGAACTGTGTCGTATTTCTGTAACGCGTTTCCGTAGCTTTCTAAAACCCTCTATTGAGACTAGCACGATATAGGAAAACGTACGGAAACCACTCAGTAAATAAACTCTTCGCCATGCTAATTCCTGCACAATGGATTAATGATACCATAAGTGTTGAAAACTTACACTTCTTCTTGTGCAGCTTGGCGACGTAGCCGACAGCGTCGAGTCCATATCCGTAGTTGTGACCATAGACTGGCAAGCCGTGGGTGTATCTGAGAGGTCCGACTCCGTAACCGAAAGCTGGGACATGAGAAGCGGTCGAGAAGGGAGTGTGGGCCAAAGCGGTAGCCACGGGGCTAGTGTGGACGGTGTGCTGCTCGCTTACGTGGTAGGGGTCGACCTTGGTCACTCTGGATACAGCAGTGCCAACATGCGCACTTGCCACAGGGGTGGTGTGGACAGCCGTCACGGCAGGGGCAGTGTGCACAGCGGTCACAGTGGGTGCTGCGTGGACAGCGGTAAGAGTGGCAGCTGGAGCAGCAGCCACTAAAGTTGGAGCCGTATGGTACACTCTAGTGATGGCCGGTGCGGTGCGGTAGGCGGCATAGCTGGTCAGCGCAGGCACGCCGTGGATGGTGGTGGCGACGGCAGGGGTAGCTGCCAAGACAGGGCTACTCTGAAAGTACCGCGAGATGGCAGGAGCGGTCTGGTAGGTGGAGACCTTAGTGGCCACAGTCGCTGGGATAGCATGGACTGCGGTGGCGATGGCAGGGGCAGTGCGGACGGCGGTCACGGTGGGAGCACCGTGGACAGCGGTAAGAGTAGCAGCCGGAGCAGTGGCTAGAACTGTTGGGGCATCCTGGTATACGCGGGTGAAGGCAGGTGCGGTGCGATAGCTGGCGTAGTTGCTCAGTGCTGGGACACCGTGGATGGTGGTAGCAACGGATGGGGTTGCAGAAATTAGTGGGCTGTTTTGAAAGTAGCGTGTGACGGCGGGAGCGGTCTGGTATGTCGAGACTTTGGTGGAGACAGTCGCTGGAACATCATGGACCGCAGTGGCGACAGCTGGAGCCGCAGCGACAATGGGAGCACTCTGGTAAACACGGGTGACAGGCGGAGTGGTGCGGTAGGTGGCGATGGCAGGAGCAGCCTGGTACACCTTCGCGAATCCGGTAGCGACAACGGGTATGGCGTGAACAGTGGTGGCGACAGCCGGATCAGACTGGTAGACCTTGGTCACTCTTGACGTGAAAGCTGGCACGGAGTGGACGGCAGTGGTGACGGCCGGAGCGGCGGCGACCTCTGGATTTCTCTGGTACACGCGGGTCACTGCCGGAGCGGCACGGTAGGTAGCGACGGAAGGGGCGGCGTGGTAGACCTTGGTGTATCCAGAGGTCACTGCTGGAATGGCGTGGACCACGGACGAGACGAAGGGAGCGGTGTGGTGCTGGCGGGTGATGACAGGGGTGGCCTGGTAGGTGGAGTAGGTTGGGCCAGACGCCACGGCAGTGATGGCTGGAGTTGCCAGCTTAGTCACCTTAGTGTAAGTGGGAGCAGCCACCACGGGAGCGGACTGGATGTAGCGGGTGACTGCAGGAGTGGTCTTGTAGGTGGTGTACGAAGGCACAGGAGCTACGGCGGCGGTCACAGTGGGAGTAGTGTGGTAGGTGGTTACGGTAGAGTGACCTGGTGAAACGACTGCGGCCGTCTTGTAGGCCGTTGTTGCGAGTGCTGGAGCAGTGTGGTACGTTGCAATGGCTGGACCAGCTTGATATGTCGTGACGCCTGGAGAAGCATGGTACGCGGTTACTGTTGGAGCGGCGTGATACGTCGCTACCGTTGAACCAATGGGGTATGCCACGGGCGCGGATACTACGGACGAAGTGGCGGGCGCCGAGTAGAATGCTCCTTGTGGCAAACCGTATCCCACTCGGTACTCTGCTAGCGCGGTGGCGAAGGCGTTAGTGGCCACGGCCAAAAACAGAAAGCTTGAGCCTGTGAACAGTTAGTTCAATTGTGTGCAAACAAAAAGAAAGTCTGAAAAAGCAAGAATATTCGTGATAATGTTAACTATAAAATGTGATGCCACGTTCTACTGACGAGTTCATTTGTACAGGTTGCTAAGTGAATAGAAAAATGCTTTGAATAATTCATTACTTGAATGCCTCGTCTGTGCCTTTACGCAAATGACTGTTCACTATCACAGTCACATCATAATTAAGCAGGTCGCAATGTCGTGGTTAAGAGTTAATATTTCACAGAATATTCAACAATTACTTCAGACAGTTACTTAAGGTGATGCATCCGATATGCGTATTACAGCAAACGTACTGAATGCAACATTGCGAAAACACAAAAGTGGAACCATACAATGAACCAGGAGTCACTCAAGTGTGAAAGATCAGTAACCAGCGCTCGATGTCTGCTAACACTGCACTTCTCAGCGCGATTTCGGCTGTTACAAATAAGAAGGAATCGTTCTTGTCTGATCTAAAGCGAATCCCTTGGTCCTATACTCACTCCAATCATGGTTTCTTGTTGGAAGACGATGTGTGAGACCACCGATGCTGCAATGGGAGCCGTCTGTCCCTTATATACGCCCAGTAGAGGCTTGGTCGAGAGAGAAAGTTGTTTTTCACTGTAAAAACTTTTCTTGAACACGCATGCTTGTAAATATACGTAGAGAAGACCAGAAATCTCGATGGCACCAGAATCTGCTTGGCAGACATATAGCGTTCATCGGTCAGCGGAAAGGAAATTGTAAGCTAAATAAATGAAGTAAATTTAAAGAAAGCCATTAGTCATTCCGTAACAGTGCTCGGTGAAAGAGCGAGCCTTCTGAAATAATGAAGCGGAGAGCCAGAGCTTTTACAATTTCAAAAAAAAAAATAAGAATTCTGAAAAGCTGAAGGATTTTGTGCGATACCCCAGACATAAATTGTGAGAAAAATGAAGAAAAAAGTACAATAAAGGGGCACCTTTCGGTATACGGAGCAGTGGTCGCTTGTCTGCCTTTACGACATACGTTCTGCCGTGCTTTGAAGGCTATCCTCAAAAATTCATACGAGAAGCGTTCAGCTACGCCCAAAGAAGCCCATAGGCTGAATGAATAACGCATAATACGAAGAGAGAAAACCTGCAGAAAACAAAGATAACATATTGAGCGTTAATCACGTGCCAAGCAGCCGGAGCTCATCGAAATTCAGTTCATTCGCGCGTCGCTCGCAGTTTGAAAACGAGATTTCACGCGCTGTGCAAAGGGCGCTGTTAACTTGCGCAAACACGTATGAGCGATTGTGGTGTTTGAACTATGAGAAGTTGCAGACACTCGAGGACAGTACATTCAATCAGCTCTTTTCCTCGTTGATCTGTCATTCTTCGTTTTTCGCAGTACACTTGCGGTGATTCGCAAGTGAATTGTCGCATATTTCGTAAGCTGATTCAATTTCGATTTGTCATTACGTGGTAATGCGAATCATGGCCCCAAAACGTCAATTTTCCCCTTTTGACGACAACATCTTGAACGAGGCTGTGGAAGACCTGGCTTGTTAGCAAGGATTGGGAAAGCCAGCTTTACTTGACCAAGCCCAGCGAGCCACAAAAGCAAGTGGAGCTCTGGACTGAGGTCGCCAACCACTTGCCCAGAAATCTTTTAGGAAATAAAAAGAAAGTTTCTTCTCTGCCTCTTTTTTTCTTGTCCTCCCTGCACAGAAAATAAATAGTGCGTGCACTTTGCTGAAAAACAGGCTACATTTAAGTAATAACTAATGCTAAATGATGTCAGAGGCTCACTGCATGCTGCGTCCTCCACCGATACACGCAACTGGTTATAAACTGATAAGTATACAACTCATCACAACTTGATAACACCGGCTACGGCTGTCATTGTTGTTCAATTCTGAACACCGCTAAGGGAATCTACTCCCAGTGAGATACATCCGCGATCCTCCGTAACCTGCTTTGCTACTCTCAGTCAAAAAATGTAAAAAAAAATACCGCAGTCTGAGACAGTCATTGTTTTTGTCAACACTCGCTGGCTACTTTTCGATATTGACACTGAATAAGTTGTAGCGGCGAGAGAAGAGAGACGTGAGACGGCGTCGTAGGCAGCCGACGGGGCCGTGCCGATCGCGCCACTTTATTCCACGCCCGAAGCCGAGCCGCGGTGGCTGTCCCCGTCCGACGCGCCAGGTGCGTTAGCTTGTTCTAATCCTCGCGCAGCTCGAGCTAGCATCAGCTGCGCGAGAGGCGCGGCGCGGTGATTGAGAAATGATGATGGTGATGATGGCACTACAGGGCTCCCCCCCCCCTAGCGCTTTGCGCGATTTGAAGGCGTATGAAAAAGAAAGAGAGCAACAAATGCTATATACATGAACGGCAATCCATAAAGTGTTCATTTGGCAAGTCCAGGTTGTCAACGTTTATGGGCCATCAGTAGGCAGTGTGTCTCCGGTGGGCGACTCTGGGAGAAGCGCAAGGGACGAAGAAGGAAGTGCCGGGTCGCTGTGTTCATAGACACGTCCATCCCACAATTACGCGGCGGGACCATTCGAATGCGCACCCGCCGTTTCGAGTAGACGCGGCTGACAAACGTGCCCACAGCTGGAACTGTGGACAGGCGCTGAAGAGCTCGCGCCGGCAATGTGGGCGAAATAGTGTGAAGGATCGGAACGCACCCATGATGACCGAGCACTGAAGTTTCACAGCCACAGCAGGGTCTCGGACAGCGCACAGGGTGCCGAGCATGCTGTCGACAAGGAGCAGCGTCGCGGTCGTGCTGGTGTGGACGTCTCTGTCGATGAAACACCGGCCTCCGCGTAGCACTGCGACCGGCATGCCGGGGCGTGTGGCCGAGTCGACGGATGCGGAAACGCCGTGCATTGCGGTTAGTCATGTGCACGGCAAGTGGTTGGCCCTTGCGTCGGAAAAACCTCGTAGGTGTTTGCGCCGTCTTGAAGGCCAAGGCTGCAACACGGACGTGATGATTTCGTTGGCAGACTATCAAGGGCGGCAGATATGCAGTTGGACCGCACGTCGTCGCTGTTGTTACCAACGAGCCTGTGTGGCGGTCTGCATCCGGCGCCAAATGCTGTGGGGAATAGTTGTGAAGCTCAGAAGACGTGAGCTTTGATGGAGGATCGGGTGGCACACCTGAAAGACCATCGGTTCTCCGCGCATGAGGGTTGGTGTGCAGGTCTGCATGATCGATGACAACCTCTACAGCATGTGTGGCATATGTAGTCTGCACTGCCATAGGCGCGCCAGGTACGTCGTCCTCAGCTGCGTCAGTCATAGTCGCAGCCTCTCGGAAGTTTGGCTGTGGTTGACGGCTTATGACTTTAACTTCGGCTGCGGGAGACTGCGGGGCTGAAGATGGTCGCTGCTGGCAGGACGCAGAGAGCGTCGAGGTGGGTGGGGAGGCGCCTTCGGACATCGTCGACGCTGAAGTCTCCGCGACCAAGGGGCGAATAGTGAGCGTGAGGATATCCGTAGTCTGGCAGACTCCGGGGCATGTGGCGATGAAGCCGTCGTGGAGTCTGACATGTCTGAGAAATCGTGGTCTGTGTAGGCCGGAGAAGACATGCGGGTGGCGAGAGTGCCCGAGGGACAATCGGCCGAGGACTTCGAAAAAATGCACCTCGTGGCGACCCGGTCGTCGGCTACAGGAACGTATTGAAGAAGCTCGTCGGATTTCGTGGCTGACTGGTCGCGTGCAGCACGAATGTTCTGAACCTCGTCGGATGGGCATTCGTACGCGGGACTCGCGTTGATAGTGGCCGGACGAGATGTTGTAGGAGACGTAGTCGGGGAAGTTAGGTCCCGGTCAGTGAAGACTTTCGGGCCGGAGGGTACCGCACGCTGCGACGCAGACGAAACCTGTAAGTCGCGGGTGAACGGCAGTGGGTGGTAGGTGAGGCCGTAGCTGGCAAGCACCGCCGAGCAGAGGTCATCGTAAGGCTGCTGGCTGGAGGTTGAAGTGCCAGAGAGATGACGCAACTCTACCGGAAGGGCGTCTTGAAGAATGGCGTGCATCAGCGGCTGGTCCGTGACGCCATTCAACGCCAGAACGGCATCGAGCTGCATGAACCATACCTTGGGGTAGGTCGATTGGAACGGCGGCACTGGCGGGCAGAGTTGCGGGAACATGGCAGCGGGCCGCTCGGCGAAGGGCGTGTTCTCCGGGTCACCAATGTAGCGGCGAGAGAAGAGAGACGTGAGACGGCGTCGTAGGCAGCCGACGGGGCCGTGCCGATCGCGCCACTTTATTCCACGCCCGAAGCCGAGCCGCGGTGGCTGTCCCCGTCCGACGCGCCAGGTGCGTTAGCTTGTTCTAATCCTCGCGCAGCTCGAGCTAGCATCAGCTGCGCGAGAGGCGCGGCGCGGTGATTGAGAAATGATGATGGTGATGATGGCACTACAAAGTCATTGATAAGTCATTGACGCAGAACCAGTGACCACAAGACTTTTACGTAAGAACGACACAAACAATCGTACGAATGACTGGATTCCCATCGAATGTGCAATTCAGCACTCGCATGAGGACAAATATTTGTTATCTTTGCTGACGTTCCCAGATAAAAAATATAGCTTTGGTATATAACTATATAAATTCGGGCACAATGCAGCTGCACGTAGATGTAAGTACACATACATAGCCTTACCAATTATGGAAATATTCATTTTTTAAGAATGCATGATTCAATCTACAGTGATTAATTAAAAAAGAAAACGCCTGGTTTGCGTGGAAGGCGCAGCACAGTCACAGCGAAAGCTAGACTAGCGGCCTTTCAGACTCTTTTCTAAACACTCATTGGTTAACTGCTGCAACTACCCTTGCTGGGTACCCTCTACGCCATAAATAATCATAACTTTTGTGCAGTAGCCCGGCATTTGCTATGCTATCCTTCGTCATTCTTCTGAGAAGCATGGTGTCCGCTAAACACTTGCAAGGAATTTTGTGCCAATCGTTCATGCAGTGCCTGACGACGATGAGG